TCCATTCTACCAGCTACCTCTGGTGGTTGTCAGGCTGCACTGGGAATGTGGGTTATTCTTTTCTTTTTTTTTGAGTCAGAGTCTCACTCTGTCACCCAGGCTGGAGTGCAGTGACACATTCACAGCCACCATAGCCTCGACCTGCTGGACTCAGGCGATCCTTCCACCTCAGCCCTCCAAGTAGCTGGAACTACAGGCTTGTACCACCATGCCTGGCTAATTTTTTTTTTTTTAATTGTAGAGACGAGGTCATACCAAGTTGCCCAGGCTGGTCTCATACCCCTAGGGTCAGGCAGTCCTCTTGCCTCTGCCTCCCAAAGTGCTGGGACTATAGGCATGAACTACTGCGCCTGGTGGGTTATTTTCAAGACTAGCTTGTAATTGGAGAGCAGAGAATTGGATTAGGGCAAGTTAAAATGCTACCAAGCTAGCTGTTCTGAGATGAAGCTGTTTTTCTTAAATAAACGTTCCTTGGTTTGCTGTAGGCGTTTGATTAGTTTTCAAAGTTCTAAAAAGTTGATTTTTGACAATTTCTGCCAGTTCTTTCATTGCTTTTGTGAAGGAGGTAATTTTCAGAGATCCTTTCTTTGTTATTTTCACTGACATAATGCAGTATATCACACCTGGTAAGGGTAGGTCCTGGGACAGCAGCAGCCTTCCCATGTCAGTAAGGCCAAGTTTGTCCAAGAAGTTACTGAGTCAGGAGGAAGCAGGGAACATCCCTCCTAAATGGAGTTACAGAGACCTTAAGCTGCTCTATTTCTCAAAGGAGAATGATAGGGAGGAAACCATTATTCCTTGGTCATCTGTGTACTAGGTGCATGTGCTGTATTACTTATGTTTCACTACAGCATTTATGAGGTGGGAAGTATTATCTCCTCACTTTACAAATGAGGAAACTGAAATAAAGGGGATAAAATGCTACAGGCCACAAAGCTATTATGTGGCATACCTAGGATTCAGGCATGAAAAGGCTATTCTCTTTTCACTGTATTTTCCATTTATTGGTTCATCACTGTGTGACTGCTACATTTAATCATGCTTTCTCATTTCTTCATCACACAGCTCTTTTAGGTAGATTTATTTTCATTTTACAGAAGAGGAAACTGAGACTGAGAGGTCAGGCCTCTTACTCTGGTTGTACCATAAGTAGGATGGAGTCACTTCTGCTGAACTCTTTAACCCATACTTTTAGCCAGTGTGCTGTGCTGCCTCAGTAGATGTAGGATTACCACACATCCTCTCCTGCTCACCTGCTTCTGTGGACTACTGTATGCTGTTTACCAGCTAGGAAGGCCCTTGTCTAGTGTTGAGCCCAAGAGTGTCCAAGTTAAAATAAACCCCCATGTCTCAGTAGCTAGTAGAAAGAACACTAGATTAGGGATTTTGGCATGGCCACTGAATTTGGCTCTCTTACTTGTACCTTTCAGAGCCTTAGTTTTTTTCTCATCTGTATTTGGCCTTCAAAATAGGGTTTGCAGGGAAGAAAATACCTGCATTTTACTTTTCTCATTCCTTTTTAGTTTGTTAGTGTGTTTTATAGTGAATTATAGTGACCCCTACATAATTTGTTAAGTATACATTTACTGGGTCTGTCTATTCAGTTGCTTACTGATGGGGTGCCTAATCAAAGATGTTTGAACACTGATCTATGAAATGAGGCACTTTGGCTACAGTATGTTCCAGTACCAATACTCTCATCATTATATAAAGCCTTCTTACATCTGGTTAAAAACATGGCCAGGCGGGATGGCTCAAGCCTGTAATCCCAGCACTTTGGGAGGCTGAGGTGAGAGGATTGCCTAAGCTCAGGGGTTCGAGACCAGCCTGGGCAACTTGGTCGAGACCTCATCTTTACAATAAATAAAAAAATAAGCCGGACGTGATAGTACCCGCCTGTAGTTCCAGCAGTTGGAAAGCTGAAGTGGAAGGATTGCCTGAGCCCAGCAGGTCAAGGCCACGGTGGCCATGAGCATGCCATTGCACTCTACCCTGGGTGACAGAGTGAAACTCCTACTCAAACAAACAAACAAACAAAAACCTGGCAGTATTAACTCTTTGTCTACTGTTAACCTTGATGCCCTTGGTTATCTTTTTCTTTTCTCAAGTTTTTCCCTTGTTGTAATCACTTTAGCCAGAGTTGCATCCTACTTCTTTACAATGCTGTAGTGCCTGTAGTTTCCAGAATTTGTATGCGCTGTATGTCACTGGTTTGAGGAAGCAGCTTATGAAACTGACTGTAGGCAAAATAGTTGTTGCCTTTTTTTTTTTTTTTGCCAAGTAGGCAGGATCAGGGACCCCATCTTGCTTTCTTTGTACCGAACCACAACTATAGTAAACATCAAAGCCCTGACTTCTTTTTTTTTTTTTGAGTTGGAGTCTCTCTCCATCACCCAGGCTGGAGTGCAGTGGCACACTCACAGCCACACCAACATCAACCTGCTGGGCTCAGGAGATCCTTCTGCCTTAGCCTTCCAGATAGCTGAAACTAGAGGTGCATGCTACCATGCCCAGCTAATTTTTTTATTTCTTGTAGAGATGACGTCTCGCCAAGCTGCCCAGGCTGTTCTCAAACCCGTGAGTTCAGGTTTGAGTTCAGATGAGTCCCCTCACCTCAGCCTCCCAAAGTGTTGGAATTACAGGCTTGAGCCACTGCGCTGGCCTTGACTTCTTATCTTGATGATCATGGCCAAACTATTCACAGCTTGTCTTTACCCTAGGATATCTAATCACTGTGTACAACAGCCTAGACCTAAAGAAATTCATCTAGTAAAGATGTTTAGGTCTCCCAAAGGAAACTAAAGAACCCTAGGCAACACTAATCACTGCTCTCTTGAGGTTCTGTTCCATTTGAGAAGACTTGGCTTTCTTCTGTCTGCTTTCCCTTCCCAGAGTTTCAGGCTCCTTATTGGAATGTACACACAGTGCTCTTAAATGCCGCTTATGATCCTTTTTTTCCCCATCCTTTTATAAACACTGTCCTTTTTACCATCTTTGAAAGAATTCTAGGTTTTTGTTTTGTTTTGTTTTGTTTTGAGTTGGAGTCTCACTCTGTCGCCCAAACTGGAGTGCAGTGGCTGCTCCTGGCCACCGCAGCCTCGACCTGCTGGGCTCTGGCGAAGAATTCTAGGTATTAATAATTTTAGAAAGATGTTAAAACAGCTATCATAGTCCCCACTAATGAGACATCTGATACAACTGATGAAATCAACTTATTAAAATGCAATGAAAGTCCATTTAATGTACTATGGAGAAAGAAAAAAATGCTATCAATTAGGCTATGATAAACCACTAAGTATAAGATGCATCCTAATTTCAGATATTAAAATGGAAAAAACGGCCGGGCTCGGTGGCTCAGCCTGTAATCCCGCGCCTTTGGGAGGCTGAGGTGAGTGGATTGCCTGAGCCCGTGGGTTCGAGACCTCATCTCTACAATAAATCAAAAAATCAGCCGGGCATGGTAGCGCATGCCTGTAATTCCGGCTACTCGGAAGGCTGAGGTGGAAGGATTGCCGGAGCCCAGTAGGTCGAGGCTGCGGTGGCCGGGAGCGGCCACTGCACTCCAGTCTGGGCGACAGAGTGAGACTCCGACTCAAAAAAAATAAAAAATGGGAAAAACGTCTTAGAATCTATGGAAAAGGGTAGCTTCCTTTTCTGTCTAACTCTCAAGTGGGAGAGCAAAAACTGAACAGACTAGAAATGCCAGGACATTCCTATGGACAGACTAGATAGCCAAGAGCCTTGCAGAATGAGCAGATATGAAAACCAAGGGTAGCTCTAAGATATAGCAGCTGGCAGGACTATATAAAGAGTATCTTCTAAAATAAATCCTTTTACCAGAATGCTGGTGGAATAAGTTCTTTACTGTCATTGAAGAAGTTGAAAGTTCTGCTTGCCCATTTCCTAAAGAGAGGAATATATAAATGTTTAAATTCCTTTAATTAATTCAACAAGTAAGAGTGCCTGCTATGTGCAGGAGTGGTGGCAGTTCATAAACTTAATGTATTTTTTGTAGTTTTCAAGAATAACTTAATTTCTTCCCTAAAATGTGACTAGATAATTCTATTACCAAATAAGCCTATTCAGTATATTAATAGTACTAGCAGCATCAACACTTACAGAAAAATGTCATCCAAGTCCCACATGTAGACAATCTTTAAAAGCAGTTGCAAAATCCTTCCAAATTTCTTAATTCTTATGAAATGCCTATTTTTCTCAAACATGTTGACCCTCACCTACATAGATGATCCATAGATGTTTCCATAAGCTTACAATAAGTTTAAGTATCATACCTTTCCCTGAAGAAAAAGAAGTGATATTAGCTTTTCTACTCTTAGCCAAAGAACCTAATTCTATGTATTACTTCTGCCTTTGGCTTGGCCATTATCAAACAGTAGTTATAGATATTACTACTGAGAAGAGTAAACTAGCCTGAAGAAGTAAAATATGAATTTGGGTGAAGGAAGTTAGCTCCTAGAGCATTTGCAATTTTCCAGGAATTCTGTGACTTTATCAACTTGTGTCAATTTTGATACTTTTTTTTTTTTAGTTGGAGTCTCACTAGGTTGCTCAGGCTGGAGTGCTATGGCATGCTCACGGCCACCCCAGCATCGACCTGCTGGGCTTAGGCGATCCACCTCAGCCTTCCAAGTTACTGGAACTACAGACGCACACCACTACACCTGGCTAATTTTTGTGTTTTATTGTAGAGACGAGGTCTCACCAAGTTACACAGGCTGGTTTTGAAGCCCCGGGCTCAGGCAGTCCTCTTGCCTCAGCCTTCCAAAGTGCTGGGATTACAGGCTGAGCCACTGTGCACAGCCAATTTTGATACTTTAAAAGCATTGATATAATTTGCTTTTCTTAGCTCTTTCTCTAACTCTCAGGTATACAGTATTCTTATATAATTGTGGTAGAAAATCTTATTCAGGTGGACTTTAGATCACACTTTATTTGCTTTTATTTTTAACCTCCCTAAATTATAAATATTTATTTTGTAGGTATCATAGCAGCAAATGTTCTTGTTTTCTGTTTATGGAGGGTACCTTCTCTACAGCGAACAATGATCAGATATTTCACATCCAACCCAGCCTCAAGTAAGTCTAACTTGTGTGATTTTATTTTGAAGTAGAGACAATATGAAAGAAATATGCTTTATGTTAGTTAAAATGCTATATATAAAAAAAGTTACTTGTCAACTGCAAGTAAAATCCAGAGGATAGGCTGTAAGCTCCTTGAAGACCGGGACCTGGTCTTTCTTCATGAATCAAGACTTGTGATCACCGTAAGTTTATTCTTTGAGGAGAATATTTATAACTTTATATCTATAATTGAAATAATTTACTCATTCTTTTTTCTAACTAACTATTGCCATAAGACAGGTTGCTTTCATTGAACCGAGAATTTTTATTGGTATTTACTAAGATAGGTTTTTTTTTTTGAGTTGGAGTCTCACTCTGTCACCCAGGCTGAAGTGCAGTAGCACACTCATGGCCACTGCAGCCTCAACCTGCTGCACTCAGGTGATCCTTCTGCCTCAGCCTTCCAAGTAACTGGAACTACAAGCACGTGCCAGCACGCCCAGCTAATTTTTGATTTATTGTAGAGATGAGGTCTCGCTAAGTTGCCCAGGCTGGTCTCAAACCCTTGAGCTCAGGCATTCCTCTCACCTTGGCTTCCCAAAGTGCTGGGATTGTAGGTGTGAGCCACCACACTTGGCCTAAGATGGTTTAGCTGTCTTAAATAAACCATCTTACTTAAGCTTTTAACTAGCTCTGTTTTTGCTTCCCATGTTTCATTTTTTTCACAATAATAACATAGAAAAGTTAGCATAAATAATTTGTATTGGCTGTGTGTTCCGTGATTATCAGACCATGTTTATCTTTCTCTTGCAGGGGTCCTTTGTTCTCCAATGTTACTGTCAACATTCAGTCATTTCTCCTTATTTCACATGGCAGCAAATATGTATGTTTTGTGGAGCTTCTCCTCCAGCATAGTGAACATTCTGGGTCGAGAGCAGTTCATGGCAGTGTATCTATCAGCAGGTAATAGGCTTTAATCTCAGGGCTTTTGAGAGTATAAGCACTCACACCTGTCTGAAGAAGGGACAGAGGGAATGGTTACTGCCATATTTTGCACACAGTGAATTCTTAGGACATATTTGTTTCTCAAATTGTATGTAGAGAAGGGTGCCGCAGACTAGTGGAGCTATTGCCTTTCCGGCGTCTCATTTTGCTGATTTTCTCTTACATGAATTATTTGAATGTGCTTACTTATAAATTAGTCAGAATAAACCAGGGTTAAGCATGTCATTTTTATGTCACTGGGCCTTGATTTCTTTAGCTCAGACCCACTATTTTGCAAATAGTGATTCCCAGACTTTCTAGCTGTCTCAGTCATCTGGGTCTTTGTTAAATAACCTACAGCCAGCTCATTTCTCCCAGCATGTTCAGTTTACGGAAAGCTTCACATCAGAGCTATCCAAAATGATTGTCAAGAATGAGTTTGTTCTGTTTTTTGTAAGAAGATATATTGGCATGGAATCACTTCCTAGTTGTAGTCTTGAAGATGGCATCATTTTCTTATTTCAATTAGGAAATGATAATGTACATTTCTAGGTTTCTAGATGCTGCTAAGTTGACAGTTGGTCTAATTTTACTTACCTCTCTGTAAAATTTATTTAAACAATAAAATGTTAAAAATTTATTTCTAAAATCTTTACATTTAAAAATAGTATATCTGGCAATTGTATTGTGCTGTAGTGAAAAAAACACTGAGCTTGAAGATAGAAGACCTCGGTTCAGATTCTATTTCTGCTACTGACTATGTGATATTGCAAAAATGGCTAAACCTCTTTGGGGATAATGATGCTTCTTATCCTCTCATGACAAGGGATTTTAGAAAGGATTAAATAACAGTGTCTACCACAGGACTGGGGTGGGTGTTAATTGAATACTCACATGTATCTAGTCCCTCAAAAGTAGAAGCTGAGCAGAATCTTTGGCCTGTAAGATAAGCATATTCTTTCCCCAAGCACTAGTTGTGTTGTGGTAGGTACAGAGGGACTCTTTCAGGTGTCATTAATTCCTGCTCCATAGGAAGTTGTCTTTTAAATGAGTCACAGTGACTCAAATGACATTGAAGCCAAGGAGACCTAAAGGATCATCTAGTCTATTGTTCCATCCCAGAGAGTCTGATTTAGTGTGTCAAGACTACAGCCCAGAGAATTCTGAGATAGCTGGTGAGTTTGGGAACTATCTTCTTTCTTCATGTTATAGTTGAGGAAAATGATAACTGAGAGGTAAAATGAATGACCTCATGTCACTCAGAAGGACATACAGTAAATCACTTTTATTTTCCTATAAAATAGCTGAAGTGATAGGCAGGATAAGTATTCTTGCCTGCACCCTAGTCTAATAGAAACCTGTTAATCTGTGCAGAGTGGAGATCAAAAATGGAAACCTTTTTTATATCTCACTTAAATTATTGAAATATGACTTATTTCTTAGGTGTTATTTCGAATTTTGTCAGCTATGTGTGTAAAGTTGCCACGGGAAGATATGGACCTTCACTAGGGGCAGTAAGTATTTTTTTAAATTTTATATTTATTTATACTTAATTTAATTAATTTATTTATTTGAGACTGAGTCCTGCTCTGTTGCCCATACTGGAGTGAAGTGACATGATCATAGCTCACTCACTGCAGTCTCAAACTCCTAGGCTCTAGTAGTTTTCCCACCTCAGCCTCCCAAGTAGCTGGTACTACAGGCACATGCTACTACACCCGATTAATATTTTTATTGTTTGTAGAGACAAGGTCTTGCTAGGCTGCCCAAGCTGGTCTCAAACTCCTAGCTTCGAGCAATCCTTCTGCCTTGGCCTTCCAAAGTGCTGGGATAATAGGCGTGAACCATTGTACTGGCCTGTATTTCTATTTTTTTTTTAATTTTAAATTCATCTTTAAATAATTTTAGACTTAGAAAGCTGCAATATTAATATAAAGAGTTTGCATATATCCTTCACCTTATTGTTAACTAACATTTCAGAGCCACAATACCATTATCAAATTCAAGAAATTAACATTGAAACAATACTATTGACCTCAATAATATTCTACATCTCATCTAAAATGTATACATTTAATCTACATCTAATTTAGAATTTATACATATGTAAAGCTTGGTAAATTTCAGGCTTTAGCTTTTAACTGTTGGTCATTTATATACATTTACTGAAATAAGAGACTATCTCAAAAGGAGTAAGTCAGAACAGTGAGTATCCTGTCCTAATCAAGCAGAGAGCCTAATCTAGCACTGGAAAATTCTAACTAATTGAAGATTTGAATCTGGTACTATATACTCTTATTTGAGTGTCTACTGGGTAGACTGAATTGATAGGCACTGTGCTAGAGCCTGGGGAGATAGCCAGTGAGCAAGATGATCACAAGTCTTGCCGTCGTCTTGCCGTCAGGAGCTTACATTCCGGATGCTTTAAAAAATGTTCGAAAAATGTGTTTTCTTTTTAATGGCAGATTTCTAGGCACATGGAAATTTTAGTAATAGTTCTTTAAGCCGGGCTCGGTGGCTCAGCCTATAATCCCGCACCTTGGGAGGCTGAGGTGAGTGGATTGCCTGAGCCCGCAGGTTCGAGACCCACCTGGGCAACTTGGCGAGACCTCATCTCTACAATAAATCAAAAAAATTCGCCAGGTGTGGTAGTGCGCGCCTGTAGTTCCAGCTACTTGGAAGACTGAGGCGGAAGGATCGCCGGAGCCCAGCATGTCGAGGCTGCGGTGGCCGGGAGCGGCCACTGCACTCCAGTCTGGGTGACAGAGTGGGACTCCAACTCAAAAAAAAAAAAAAAAATAGTTCTTTAAAGACTACACATTTAATTTGCATATATTTAAATACTAATGCACTTGAATGCATTCAAATAGGGGATTTCCTATTTAAAGGAACTCTATAAAGTTTAACTTTGGGAAAATATTCTTACGTAAAATAATCATTCTTAATTTGTGTATTCCTCAGATTTGTTTACACTTAATTTTTCTAATGAGCATTTATCTTGTCCTATGACCTATGACCTACATGCTTTCTTAAGCCCTCTTCTTTTCATTCATGGAATTTTTGGTTTTTTTAAAATATAAAATTTGGTTCTGGTATAATTTATGAATTTCGAATCATATTCTTTGCCCTATTCAACAACTAGGCATCTATTATATGAAGGCAATAAAGACCATTAGGGTGAATCAGAAGGAGACTCAGACTTCAAGTTTAGTTGTGGAGAAAACATACACACATCTAATTCACACTGGGCAAAATAATTCTCTAGAGGACTTTGGGAGTCCTGAGAGTAGGGAGACTTTTCTCATTAGCTGAAAGGATCTGGGAGGACATTTTGATGTTATTTTCATTTTATGGATAATTGAAATCTAAAATTAACAGAGGATGGCAGCATGATATTTTTAATTAGAGTGGGATTAAATTCCAGTTTTGTTATTTACCTGTGATTTCCAGGACATATTACTGAACTTCTTTGAATCTGTTTCCTCATATAAAATGGGGATAACGCCATCTAATTCTAATTTGCAATGCAAGTATATTTAGAGTGCTTACACTGAAAGGAGTACAGAGTAAGAAATGTGGAAGTGGTAGCTCCCATTCAGTCATCAAAATCTTATAGAGTCATGGGAGGATATAAAGTTATTATCCCCAAATACTTGAATTCTTCCTTGGCTAAAATTGAAGAAACTTAAGTTGCTAGGTATAATGGCATTTTTAATGAGAAATCTGGGGAAAAAATTACTGTTGACAAAATTGTTACAAAATATGAAATATTGATTTTATTGGCTTAGTCAATAAGATAAGATGGAGACTATTAAAATATATTTGTCATTTACTTTGGCACTAGGGATTAATAATACTGACTAGTTTCGGTAAGAGTTTTGTTTAATTAGAGCTATACATATGCTGAATCTCATCAAATTACTAGTTAGTAGAAGGAAGCTTTTTTCTAAACAGTCTGCTTTTTTTTTTGAGTGGGCGAATCACTCTGTCACCAGGCTGGAGTGCAGTGGCACGTTGCTCAGAGCCACTGCAGACTTGACCTGCTGGGTTCAGCTGAAACTACTGGCATGTGCCACCACACCTGGCTAATATTTTGATTTATTGTAGAGATGAGGTCTTACCATGTAGCCCAGGCTGGTCTCAAACCTGAAGGCTCAGGCAATCTTCTCACTTCTGCCTCCCAAAGTGCTGGGATTACATACATGAGCCATGACGCTCGGCTTTGTCTGCTTTTTAAAAGTTTTTTTTCTATGAAATGTAACCCTTAATCTCAAAATAGCAGCATTTGTTAAGTGTTTGTTAGAGAAAACGTTTTTCACTTGAAGTCGTTTCTTACAGGCTGAACTTGCTCATCAGCATTATGATGACCTGTTCACTATGACTTCATTGATCTATCATTGACCTAACCTGTACCTAAACTGAATCCTCTTTTTAAGTTAGGAAAGTATCTTTAGTCTCTTCCTTTCGAGGTTATTTTTGTGGAGATGGGGGGAGTCTCTCTATGTTGCCCAGGCCGGTCTTGAACTATCCTCAAGAGATCCACCATGCCTGGCTGGCATTGTTCTTGATATCTTATGCTATATTTTTACTTGTTTCAAACATGTTTGCAATTGTTCATTGAAGCATCTTTATGATAGCTGCTTTAAAATCCTCGTCAGATAATTCTAACATTTATGTCATCTTGGGTGTTGGTATTTATTGATTATCTTTTCTCATTCAAGTTGAGATTTTTACCAGTTCTTGTTATAATTGATTTTCAGTTGAAACCTGAACATTTTGGATATTGTGAGACATTGGATCTTATTTAAACTACTCTTTTAGCAGGCCTCCTCTGACACTGTTCTTACGAAGGAAGGGAGTATGCTAACTCATGACTGCCAGATGGGGCAGAAGCCCAGCTTCCTCACTCAACCGCCTTTGCCTTTTGGGGCATAGTGGTTCTTTTAGGGCAAGATTGGGAGTCCTGGGAGTACAGGCTCCCTAGTGGACCTCTGCTGATATTGGTGTGGCTAGGAGGAACAAGGGTTCCTTGTTACTGTTCCTTTCTACTGATACCACTCTGTTAGGTGTATTGGGCGCTTTGTTACTGCCTGGCAAGGGTATAAGTCCAGGATCCTCACTTAGTCTTTGCTGATGGGAGTTGGGTCACGGTTTTTTCAAAATTGTTATTGTCTAAAAAGTTCTCTTTTGCTAGGCTACCCTTTCTTGGTCCTTAGCTAGAGGGAAGATTTGAACTATATGAGCCAAAAGAAAGTCCAGGAATACAATGAAAAACTATTACTATGATAGATTTGAAGATTAGATAGATATAGAAAATTGCTTAAGAGATAAGTAAAAGGCTAGCTGTGCATGTCAATTAAAAGTATGTAATCAGTGTTTGTAAACATTATTGATGGAGAGCAAAAGATCTTCACCTCTAACTATGGATCCAGACCTCTTGGGTTTACTTGGATCAGGGTTCATGACTCCCTAAAATTGTATTTAAAAATATGTATGAATGAGAATTTTTCCTGAGGAGAGAAGGGACTATTTTCATTAATTAGATTCTTAAAAGCTGACTAGAAAAAGTGAAAAATCTCTACATGGGAGTAAGCCCAAATGGTCAAAAAACAAGTTGTGATTTTTTAAAAACATATAAATATGTTTAAATTTGTATAAAAGTCACATTGAGAAAGTTCTAGAAGGATAATGGAACTACCTTTTAAAAATAAGTACAGTAAGTTATAGTCACAAAGACTGGCTTTACATATAATTGCACAGATAATGGTAATTTTGTTTAATAGATAGGGAATAATTGTCATCTGTGGAAAAGTAGGGGAACTGCACAGAATTTTAATGGTCTTTCATGTCAGCTAACAAGTGATATTTGCTTCATTTGGGGGGAAAGTAAAATTTTTTTTTTTCCTTCCAGAAAATAAGGTTTCAGCTTGATTTCTTCTGAAATTTGAGTTGGGTTTTTTAGGGTTTCTTTAAAAATAAACTTAGGGTATTAAAGTTACGCATATACCTTGAAGCCTAGCGGGTGATAGGCTGCTGTTCAGGCTTACTTTCAAATTCTTAGTGACATTGACATCTACTCTGCTTAATGCAGTGCTTGCTGGATTTGGGGGCAGATATTGAAATAACAACTAGAATAAATCTTTCAGAGTAAATACAAATATGGCCAGTGTAACATGTTATACCCCAGGGGAACCATGACCTAGCAAGTATTGTGGGGAAATAAGCCACCGCCTTTTCAGATGGTTCTGATGTCCTGTTGCTGTGACTCACTTAGGACGGGGAGTGGGAACAGGGAAAGGTGAACAAATCATGGAAGCTATATGTTGGTGTATGTGTATTTCCACACAAGCAGTGATTGCCCTATTAAGGGAAGTCAGGATTTCAGAAGAACTGCATGTGTTAAAATTACAGACTTTTGCACAGAAGCCAACTTGGCCAGTATACAATAGCAGTTGATATTAAGTGTAGAATATAGAATTCTGACTCCTGCCCCTCACTCTCAGTTGGCACGCAC